CCCGGCCCAGTGGCGGGCGGGGGCCGGGAGAGATGCCTGGGGCAGGGGCTGCCCCAATGCCCCCCAGCCTGCCCTGCTGCCTGGCCGGGGCGGTGGGACAGGCCCCGGCTGTGAGGCCCAGCCCTGCCGGCCCCAGGGCAGCCTCCGCTGCTCCCCACATCCCAGCCCCAGGGAGCCACCGGCCCCTGATACATCATGACACGAACCATGAAAAATGATGTAAGTAAAAAAAATGTTAAAGAACAAAATGCAACAAACGTCCCAGGAAATGTATCCGATTTTTCAATATCCACTTGATTAGAATTTTCTAACCTGAACTCCAACCTGAACTTCAAGTGCAAATCACACTGGGTTTTGATCATGCTCCCCGAGAATTCGAATACACTGGAGGAGAGCACCAGGTCAGGCTCAGCCGGTGCCCTGGACACTCCACACCAGGCAGCTCTTCTGCAGGCAACTGCCCACCATCGTGGGCCGCCATACTTCAAGCCTCTGCAAGAGACCAGCTGGGCCACAGACAGCGCATTCCTTGCAGCCCAAGTTTTCATTGTCTTAAATGTGAGAGAGGCAAAAAACAGCCTAAAGCAAGTATATTCACTGCACTGGAAATAACTGGTCAATGCTCTTAGCCAAAAAAAGAAAAAAAACAACAGTCAGACATACGCGTAGCTCAAATCTGCAGAATATAGAAAGCTTCCATAAAATAAACCTATGAGGTATCACCAACATCAGAATTCTCTTATCTGCTATCTAGATGTGCCCTATGCAGTTTTGGATTTTTTTTCTTTTACATATGTATATATTTATGTGTATATATGTATCTTGTTTTTATATTTACATGTGTGTTTATTTCTCCTATGCCGCAGCTGAGTGTCAGGAATTCTTAGCCATTTCTCAGACTGCAGTACACTTTTCACAATAAATGTGAAAGAGGATCGATTATTTCAGAAGTAGTTTTTAAATACCACACGCAATTTCCCCATAAAAATCAGTTTTTAAGTAATTATGCAAGAACCAAATCTTATTCAGTGCCCTCAGATGTTGATCCAAACGAACATAAACACCACCAGCCTGAAGAATCCATTTTGCTCAGGCAATTGTGAGAGTAAAATTTAGTACCTTGGGAAAACAGAGAAAGTAACAGGAAAAGTTACCGGAATCAAGAGTAAACTCTGTATTTTAAGAATCCTCTAAAAAACTATATAGCTTTTAAGACACCTCTTTACCCCAAACACCAGAACTTCAGATACCAATCATGTTTCCTACTTTCAGAAGGCTCACTTATGAAGCAGAGCTTTAAATGTTTCAGTTTTCCCTTGGTACAAAAGGAATTAATGAGGGAGCTGGTTGGCCAATATCTATTTTTAAGGCTTCTGTATTTGATAAAATTCTATACAGGTGAGTGTGAAGACATATGTAGCAATAAAGAACAGGCAACAGGATGGGAAACTATTATAAGAGCTGGTATTTCTATGACAGATTTTGCATCTTGGAAACTCATGTTTTACTTGTTATTCTCCAAAGCCAGTAACACAGCTTAAAGGGAAATTGTAATCTTTTTCTACATAAGCAAGGAGATATTGAGTAAGAGTAAGCTTAGCACCTTCTCACTTAGCAGTGGCTCACCAATGAATTATGAAAAAAAATTCAGATCACTGCAGAAATTCCAGATATGACAACAGGAGTGGAAGATGGCCCAGTCCACCCAACTCAAGGAAGTTAAATATCTCCTAGAGAAAATATTATGGGGGAAGTTTCTTTACAGAGCAACAGAAGAACCAAAATTTGACACAGCAGAATTCTTCAGTTCAGCAAACAAAACCCTAACAAGAGAGCAGGAACCTGGAAATAGATAAATTCCATGCAGATTTTTTTTCCTTCTAAAGAACAAAGGCAATCAGCTGGGCAAGCGTTGCTATGGAGACTTCCCATTAAAAATTAAAATCTACAAATAGAAAGAAAGTCTACAATCTTCGAAAAGGTACTTCAGATTTTATTGTTTTAATATAAAAATACTATTTTATCATCACTTAAATCATGAAACAAGAAATGCTGACCTAAAAATAAAAAAAAAATCTTGACCTTATGCTGTGTTTGTAGATTCAGTTTCCTAAATGTGATTTAATTTTCCAAAAGATTAATTCTTGATGTGTATCACATTTTGCTAAATAAGAACAGAATATCAACATTTATTAAGGCCTGTGTATATGGTATTTCATATGTTTATTCAAATGCCTACATTGTACATTTTAATTGCATTGAAACAATGAATCATAATAGATTATTTATCTTGAAATGTGACATCTCTCCTTGCACGTAGACGAAATTGGCATCCATCTAAATGGCGTAAGAGCATCACTTCAAAATCAAACATATTAGAACTTCTTTAACATGGTGAATACACAAGAAGTAAATTTATCAAAGTCATTCTACATTAAAAACTAATTCATTTTTAAAGGAAGCTTTATCAACAGAATTCTTTCAGACATTGTGACCTAGGTTTTAGAATACCTGTATCACACAGTGTTTAAGAATATTGTTAGAAGAAGATTAAGACTTTTTCATTGGTCTTCCCAACACGAACTGCCCTTGGTAAAGACAATTTTTTTTCTTACCATCATGAAACCAAAACAGAAACTCCTCAGCTCCTTCCCTGGCCAGGCTTTCCAAATTTCATGCATTCACACACAGCTAGAGACCTCAGTCTCAGGACTCCCTCCTTCATTAATAACTTCACTTGGCATCTCAGAGCAGTTTGTTTTTAAACTTTCCTTCATTTTGAATCTTCACAATCATTTTCTAAACTTCAGATCAGGCAGTCCTTGAATTGAACTAGTTGGCGGAACCAAAACCAGGAAATACTCTGCCTTGCACCTACAAATGATACTACTACTGACTGACCACTTCTGCAAACTCTGTCCCACCTGCTTCAGGACTTTTTCCATTTCAAACAGTGAGCTGTTGAAATTTTGGAAGAAGCTAAATGTGCATCCTGGATTCTGTAAGGGATTGAAATAGATGGTAGCAATTTTATGCCT